ATGGAAACATTTATCGTGGAGAATTCTAATGCAGGCATATCAGAACCGTACATGTAAGCTATTAAATATAAAAGTCTCAGTGCTGACGGTATATCAGTCTTAGCTTCACTAAAATTTTATCTTCCCTATAACTGGATTCTACAACAACTTATGATCGGAAATTGTTACCTCCCGTCATGTTTCTAGAATCCAATATCAACAATCTATCATGTGATAAATTTTCGAGTGTCTCGAACATCACGTTAAAAATATTTCATCCGTTCGGCTTATGTGGTTTCCTCCATGCATCCCTGAGAAAGTTCTTAATGAAGGCAACCCTTCCCTTAAGCTGATGGTCCTTCTTGCTTTCATATAATCAAACAAACTACTAAACCGTTCGACTTATGTTAATCTAATTGAAATCTTCTTCATATAAGACCTCTCGGCTTTCGTTTCTTGCCACTTTTACACTCAGCCTTTTGACACTGTAAACGAGCCTTTACTTTTCCCAGAGAAAGCAAGGTGTATATCTATATAAAATAGCACCAGAATAGTCTATATTAAAGGCTAAAAGAAATATACGTGTTCATACCATTTGGATTTCTAACTGCAATTAAGTCTTTTCTCAGAGAAATCCTAGAGCCATGCTTCAGCTGAATGCATGCATTAAAAATCATAATCAGTTCTCAAACTCATATCACAAAGGAACATATTCAATTCAAAAAATTAAAATAAATAAACAAATAAAATAAGTAACTTTAAAAAATCGCGACCCACATTTTAAGGGCCTAACGTAAAAATACCTTCCTCGAGTCCTGTAATAGTTAAACCACAAATGCTGTTAATTGACGAGAGAATTTTCATATTGCCTATCATTTTATGTATTTTCAAAATTTTATGTATTTTATCTTAGATGAATACGAAAGCATTAGAACTTATACGAATATTCAGTGTTTGTACCTGTAAGAGGTATCAAGGATTGGTTCCCAGTAATTTTAAGCTTCCTTTATTAAAAATATGAATTAAGAGCTTCTTTTTAATCATATTTGTAGTATTTGCTCTAATTTTGCAGTCACACAGTGAAAAAATACATTTCTGCAGTGAAGAAATATAGTTTCAGGTTAGCTAGTTTGGATTGCAGTGAATATTTCATACATTTGGGCTCTGCGCAACAGTCTGCGCAGAAAGTAAAAGCTCTTAAGCAACATATCAACTATTTTATGTATGGCGTAGGTGAGAAACACTGACGATTACTATATCGTCCATACAACAGTGGTCGTTTTAAGATTCAGAATGGTATATTTGAATAACACCTGAGTTCTGTCTGTTTATTTGTTAGCCTCTCGTATTATGACATAAATTAAAAATACCTCAGGAAATTTAATATATTATATTTGTTAAATGCCACCATTCTTCTGAAAAAATGTAACTACATCAAGAAACCAAGTCTTATGCGAAAAATAATTTAAAATGCTTATATTTGGCAATCTTCATTAATTTTTAAATATGATTTTCAGCATGGTACTTTCTACTGCCTTGATAAATATGATTTTGTTTTTTATGTAAAAAATTTACGTGCCCTTAGTTTAAATATTGATCTCATCATGAGTATCAGTTTTATTGACACTGAGGAAAGATAGCGCATTTTTTTTATTCAATGCTTATGACTTAATTATGATGAAAATAAACCCCATGCGTGAATTTTAAATGTGTTAGACCTTGCTATATATTTATGAAATCGATTCTGAAAAATGCTTTTTTTTTTTTTTTTTTTTTTTTTTTTTTTTTTTTTTTTTTTTTTTTTTAGTTTAGCAGAAAACATTGATAGTTCTGTTTACATAGAACCTCTTGAGTTATTCTATAACACTTTTTTCTTAAGAATGTTTCATATGGCAATTGCATCAAGAGAGCTGATGATGTATTCTTAACATGTTCAGCAAGTGATCTCCAAATATCAAGCATAGTTTTTCTCCTAATTGCTCTTGTTTTCCGAAATTTATTTGTCTCAACATGCTGAGACTTGTTTTCACTCAATATAATGAGCAGATTGCAAGGATGTAAGAAATGCGGGGGTTTTTTTTTTTTTTTTTTTTTTTTTTTTTTTTAGTCCGAAGGGGGCTTTGTCCCTGAAGGACTATTGTTTTCGTTTTGCGATTTTGCGTTGAATCACTATAAATGTCCGTTTCATTTTTCAAACTGTTGCCGCCAAATCTGCATAAATGTATGTCTATTTCTCGCATTGTGATAAAACAACGGTACATAGAGCCACCGAATTTTGAATGAGTAATCCTCCTACGAATATGGGCATGTGGAAGACCAAATTTGAAATTTGGAATTTGTTTCATTATCAATTTCATATTTTGTAAAACTTTAACGAATTTTTGAGTAACAAACTCAACGATTTAAAAGCGAGCAATGGCAACACTCTACGGCGGGAGGGGGGGGGAACCTTTTTATCTCCAGCGGGCGCGGAACTGTGTATCGGAAATTCTAAAGATATGCTCATTTTAAAATTATTTTGCGATTTTATTGCTTGAACAGAACTTCATGCTAATTTTATGGTTTAAGTAAGCGTGAAGAACATGATATTTAATAAATAAAGGTAACACAACAAAACGTTAAAAAAAAAAAACGCCCCTTTGGACGTAATTTAAAATCTGAAACCTTTCAGATTTTTTTTTTTCGGGGGGGGGGCTTTTTTTTTTTTTTTTTTTTTTTTTTTCTATTATTGGACTTCAGTTTGTTCAACAGCTTATCAGCTGCGACTGTAATAAGCTTTAGTACATTAAGAATTCAAAGATTGCAGCAAAGCAAATGAAGATCCTAAGTTTTTGGAACTGGGGTCATTGATGATTATTTTGCAAGTGTATGTCTTTTGCTGCATGGGAACGTTTAAAACCTGTTGATCCGAAAGTTCTTTCAAATAACTGGTCTTAGGAAAGGAGAGGAACAAGACCCTTCGGAACCCATCCGCCGGGATATTCTTGGTCAAAATTAAGTAAAGCCAGGTTAGGTATAAGTGCTGGAGCCACCTATTACTTACCCTGAATAAATAAGGAAAGGTCCTTTACATTAGCTATCTAAATTACCAAAGCCTTTCTAGGGCACACAGTGTCGTTCTGATTCCGAGATGATACTATTGTCTGGGGTGGAATTGGGCATACAGTAGTTTTGCCACCATTTGGGCTTCAAGGACCCCCCCCTCCATGATTATGCTTGTGGTCAGAGTCGTAGCTAGGGGTTTCAGCGCCCAGGGACAACTGAAGATTTCGCGCCCCCTACTGCTTGCCAAGGATGGAAAACATTTAATTCTAAAATGTCGTAACACCAGTTTGGCGCCTCTTGGATTCTGCGCCCGGGGACAGATGCCCCCTTGCACCCCTCTAGCTACGCCCCTGCTTGTGGTCATTCCGATGATGCACACTTGGATATAAGAATAAGCATAATAAGAAAGTTGGCACAGAACTATTAAAGTCACGTGGTTAATTCGCTTGACCGCTGTGGAACAACTGTAATAGTCAAGGAATTATGCAAATAAGCGAACTGAATTTTCTACATTTCATTTGGTATGTAGTATTCCATTTTTCTTTTCAAAATCTGAATCTCAACTAAAGAATAGTAGAGACGAGTTCTACATTAGTAACAATTTCTAGTTTTAAATAACTCTTTTGTATATAAAATGACTTTAAGAATGAAAACGATTTACCTTTGAATAATCGTTAAGTAATGAAATGAAAAAAAAAAAAAAAAAATGGGATGATCCTTCAGAAACCAATTATTTGAAAGTGCAAATAATTTGTATGCGTTGTAAAATACAAGCACAGGTTGAGTTGACTGGCACATCATCGTCTTTTCAGAATTAATCTCCAATAATGTTCTATATGGGACTTTCTTGTACGGCAGCTGCCTTCAGGAACTAATCAAATGCTGAAGCATACGCTTCTTGGCGCAGTTTACGACACTTAATCATCTGATTTATTTTATGTATTTACAGGATAAATGTTTCCATAGCTTCTAATGCTGCACATTTTCTTTAAACTGAATGAAGCCTAAAAGACGCCAAGCATGTAAGGCCACTGAACACTGGGAGCTCGTCCAGGCCTCAAATCACGGTGAAGAGGCTGCGTGAATAAGAGGTTTTCCTCATGTATAACATGAATACAAGCTAATCCTCCTGTAGAAAGGCCTTTGGCAGATAGCCGTAGTAAGCTTCGCCTTAATCTAATAAATTCAAGTCAAGCCTTACTAAATAAAAATGTTTTTCAATCGCAAGGCATGCATTTTATAAACCTTGTATATCTCATTTCTTTCCAATGTTCTCGTGTTTTTCGAAATTCTACTGATCTTTCTTCACGGTGCTGCGATTCAACAATGGAGGAGCGGAGAAAACGTACATGGAATATCATTAAAAATATGAATTTCATCAAAGCATTGTATAAAAGGAAATGCTGACAAAAATAATATATTACTTTAGTTTTGTTGAACAGTGCGCATTTACTGATAATTCTTAAATTCGGTTCTCGGTGCTTTTCGATGTAGTATTTGCTTCAAGATGTTTACATACATCTGATTTGTCATAACTGATCCTTTTGATACTGATTTTTCATTAGGGAGATTAATTTGTACAAACTTCATATTGAGCTTCTAAATTCTTAGCTGTGTAAAAGTTGTTAGCTATCTAATCTTTACTAAAAATAGTTACAGAAGTGTCGCAAAATTTCGTCGTGAATTTAGCCGCTTGTGTACTCTTCCCACTGTTTCATACATCGTTATCAGGAATTTAACACCGTGTTTATTCCGCACTTTGCTATATGTATTATTAATTATTTGGTGGTTTCTTTTTTAAGTATTATCAATTATTAGGTGGTTTCTTTTTTAAGTAAATTTGCTCAGTTAGTGCTAAAGTATTTTCGCTATCTCAAAAGTAGCTATAGCGAAGGAACTGTGAAATATATAAAAATCAAGTAGCCATATTTATGAATTATTGGATTAGTATGGTAATAATACTTTTTCTTTTGCAGGTTATGAAAGGGACAGCTACCTCTTATTTAAACCAGAAATGGAGCTTCTTTCCAGTTTGCAATGGGCAAGGCTACGGTTTCCAAATTCATCAGTGGTGGACGTTTCGGTAGCGGTTAAGCGATGGAGGGAAGACTCAAGCGAGTTTTTAATGCTAGCCTGTGGTGAACCGAGGTGTCGGAAGGCCAGACTGGAACTTCTGGTTAGAAAGGCACGAACAAAAAGAGCGGCATGCAACAAAGAATGTTGTAAGCGATCCCTCAAAATATCATTCAAAGAAATCGGATGGGACTGGATAGTACAGCCAGTTGAATTTGAAGCATTCTACTGCAAAGGTCGGTGTCGTGACGTTTCAGATGGCTTTGCAAGTACACATGCTCTAATGCAGAGCATCCTCAATTATAAAGGACGCAAAGTATCGAGACCATGTTGTGCTCCCCGGAAATTACGACCTCTTGATTTGTTACATTATAATGACAAGACTCCACCAGAGTTGGTTGTTACTCGTCAGAAAGGGATGATCGTCAAGGAATGCGCTTGCGCTTAATCCTGGAACAACCACAGACTCAAAACCTCAGGGTAAAAACTTATTTTTCCTTTCACTGACTTTGTGTTGGATGCATCCTTAGTGGTCCGAGATTGACCGTACTTTGCACGAAGCAAGGAAGACTATTTGGATGAGGATAGGAAAGCGGGATATATACTCAGGAGTCACGTAAAAACTATTGTTCGTTTTATATTTTAAATTATTTTAGTTACGAGTCAATGTGTGTGTGAAATGAAATCTGTACAGCTTGTTGAATTCTTTTCCTCACAACTTGTCATGTGTACAATTTTGTAATTTCTAATAATCTGGAAATTGTTAATATTGTTTGTGAATAAAAGTAATACAAATTATTAATAGTAAACGTTTTAAAGCAAAATAGAAACTTTTATGAAGTTCTAAATGCTTTTTTAGAAATTGGAGATGAAAACTGAAGGAGTAATTTTTTATTATTATCATTATTTATTTAATTACTTTTATTCAAGAGTAATCCCAAGGTTTTTTTTCAAATTATTATTAAGCATTTAAAAATTATTTTAGTTTCAAGTCAATGTATGTGTGAAATGGAATCTGTACAACTTGTTAAATTCTTTCCTGTCAACTTGTTATGTGTACAATTTTGTAATTTCTAATAATCTGGAAATTGTTAATATATGTTTGTGAATAAAAGTAATAAAAATAATTAAAATAAACGTTTTAAAACGAAATCGAATCCTTTGTGAAATTCTGAATGCTTCTCTTCAAATTGGAGTTGAAAATAAGAGTAATCTTCGTTTTATTTTTTAATGACTCCAAGATTTTTTTAATTACTGATATATATTTTTATCCGAACATAATCTTAAAAGTTTATTTATTGCCAGTATTTATAAAGAGAATTTTAAAACTAAACATAGTGTTAAGAAAATGGTAAATGTGGAAACGATATGTATGCTGTTTCATGTGATACAGGGTCGATTCTATTTTTAAATTGGCTTTTCTGCTTGATCAAGCTTTTTTCTTTTTTTTTTTCTCTGTTCGCATTGTTTCAGTCCCCCACTATTTAACATATTTCTACCACTACTTTTAGTTTTCTCCATACTTTTTCACTTAGTTGCATTTTTTCTAGACCTCACATTTTTATGCATTTTCCGCTTTAATACAAATATCCGATATCCCACATTTCAACTTTCTTCTCACTCTGGATAACAGGTAGCTTGATCTGTTAGAATATCAGACAATGCAAAACTGCGATTTTCATTTCAGGTAGATCATAAAGAAGAATTACTGAAACTCATTTTTTGGTGTAATCAAAGCCTGCAACTGTATGTGGTTGGATGTTGTCATACTCAAATTATTCATCCTGAGTCTCGCAGAACACCACATATGATTAACTTTTACCTAGCAGGACAGAAGTAAGCGGGATATAAGAACTTCACCAACCGTCTCACACCGCACTTACTGTACAGTTCCGTCCCAATTTTGATAGAGAATACCTCGGAAGACGGATCTCAGGGTCTCCCCGCTTTTCCCCAACCGCGAAACCACTTGAAAGGAATTTCAGCTCGTAAGTATTTTAAAGGGCCACATGCCATACACACTATATACTAACAACCATCAAGACTTCTTCAAGATTCGAAGCCGGTAACAAATGGGTACGACAAAATTGCTAACCACTAATAATGATCAAGACGACATTTCTACCTAGAGAGAAAGGACATCGTCATTTGTCCAGCCATCACCGATTCCACGCGCTGTGCAACTCAGAGTCAGCATTTCCCCATAACTCACTTCTTGAGCGCCTTTTGCGAATATTTCATGAGAAACACGCTTGCAATATATCATGACGACAAATCAGTTTTTTGTGCAACATGCATTTCTTATCCCAAACGAAATCAACACGAACAGTAGCTATTTATTCACTACGAAAAATATAAAGTGAAATCTGTAAATATTTAGAATAGTATTTTCCTCAGCTCACTTATCTCGACGTGATACTTCATCATACATCTCTTTTGTTATCAAGTATGGAGCTTGTAAAACTCTGTCTCATGCCTTAACTGATAAAGAAACGTTCTCTTTATATGTAGCAAGCTTATCTTGTGACCCACGCTTAGTAATTCCTGTGCTTGCTAAATCTGCCTTCAGTTAGCATAATTTTTTTTTTTTTTTTTTTTTTTTTTTGTAAGGCCCAGTAGTAAAACCGCTGAGCACTGGTAATTCGACCTAGGTTCAGATTCTGACGAATGACTTCTTGTATGGGTATTTTCTTGTTTTTCACACGTAAAACGTGGATGCAAAACAGTTTCCCTTAGAAAGCTCACCATAAAGAGATCCCTTCGCTCAGACAGATAATCCTCACTTACCTTGCCTAAATCAAATAAATCAGGCCATATGTTTTAGTCAAACTGGCCAAAGCTTTCACTTGATGTTGAAAACCAAGGGCTAACGAGGGACTTGATATTAAATTGCTTGTACCCTTTCTCCATTGATTTGTTGAATATAATTTTTACGATCATAATTGCAATACAAAACGATTCTTCAAAGGGTCCTAAAGTACTTTTACGTATCCTGCAGCAAGTTTCATTGCACATACTATCTTTGCATTTTCCTGTAAAAAATACTCTTCCACACCTTTTTTTGCCTTCATATTAAAGAAGTCTTCACATTCATAAGACTTTAAATTCATAATATTTAATTGAAAACTTATTTGCATTTGTCAAATGTTTGTCCACCTACGTTCAAGTGGCTTAGATCTTGCTGAATACTGGTAGTTTGATCCGTGTACAAATCCTAAAGAACGAGCAAGTTGCATGGATATTTTCATGGTTCCCCAACATGTGCAATGCAAATACGAGCAATTTTCCCTTTAAAATGTTCTCTGTAAAAAGCATTCTTTTTCTCAGCCAGATAGTCATAGTGTTCTATGCTACAATCAAATAACAATTATCATATGTTCAACCGAGACAAGGCATTAGCCCAAGAACTTGGCTACCAAACACCCTTAACCCTTTAGTGCTCTGCACATTTTTGTGACACTGCCTACCAGCAACTCCGGCACATTTTCGCAGCGGAACGAGTGAAACGGAGACTTATTTTAAGTGGGAAGAATTACACGTGCTTGTGAATGTTTTTAATTTTATTCATTTTATACATATGCTCTTTCTTCTTGCAAATGAAAGATAAATTTAAAGTTTTGTAATTCACCATGGTGTGATATCTTTGGAAACAATCTCTCATGTGCATCCTGGTTTACTTGGGCAAGTGTCACAGTAGTCACTTGTTTGACGTCTGCCATCCTTTTGTTTCCTTGTAGAGCTCCTGACACAGTCCCTCTTCGAAACTTTCCTCATTATATTAAGTTTCCTTTAGTCTGATTTCAGAATTTGATGTAGAAACTCTTGATCTCTCCTGACGAAAATCTCCGAGTTGATTGACTAAAATTTTTCGATATTGTAAATGTGTCAGTGCTTTCTCATTTTTATTGTGCTGTACAGTTTTATACAGAATGTATGAATTGATTATTGAGGTCTCCATTCCACCCTCCCCCCAAAAAAACAGTTTCCCCCACCATTTGAGTGATTTCCTGAAAAAGCAATAATTGGAGGCATATTGATCAGCCTGATCAATTCCACCCATCGACTTTGTGTACCCGACAACTACACTTGGCTTCTCGTCATAATAATAATTTTTCTCCATGTTGCTAACCACGAAAAAGGTAAAAAAATGCTTTAATCATAACAGTACAGAGACTGAGCATGTTTTAACTACAGATAACAACTGCCAACAGCGACGATGCCGCAGCATTTTAAGCATAATCATGTTAAAAACATTTGGCTCCGGATGGCTCTGTAGCGGAGCGCTAAGGATTAAATATACTTCAAGCAAATTTTTATGCACCTTGAAAAATCAGGGTAAGAATAACTTTTTATATGGAAGTATCAGAGTGCATAATTCTTTAGTTACAGATGATTTCATTGCTGAGCAGTCAAAATACAATAATATGTAAGGTGACATAAGTACTGAATGCAGTATCACAATTTATCCTACTTATTATTTAGAACAGAGTTTCTTAAACTGTGGGTTGCAACTTGCAGCAGAGGGTCGCCAAAAATGTTAGCAGTTTTGATATTTCTTTAACTTATTATAATAATTTTACACAATGCATCTGAAAATAAAGATAAGACAATACAGACAAAGAACAAACGAAAATGTTTTGACACATTTTTATAATATAAACATTTGTTTTACTTGCTCTGCAGGTGATGCTGTCATTTCGTTTGTTGCTTAATTAAAATTTTCACATTGTTTTATGTCTTAAAATTAGAAATTAAAGTTAATGACCTAAAACTACAATAGTATATTTACAGTACAAGTGATAAAACTGACTGTTTCATTCACGCGTGTGTTGGATTTGCGCAATACTTATGGGATCCTATAAAATTTCAGTAAATATTATGGGGGTCCTGGGGTCATGACTGAAAAATGTTTAAGAAGCCCTGGTTTAGAAGATATTTGTTAACTGATAATAACCCTTAAACCTATATTTAATGCTCATAATGAGTTGCAGAATTACTGCATTTTAACATGCTGGCATTTAAGCATCAATTGGCAAGGAATTTTTGGGAAACAGCTTACTGCGAATAATAATTACCTTACAGTTCTTAAAGAACTAATGAAACTCAAAATGGGCAGCTTTCTGATAAGTTCACAGATATTTAAAATGAAATAATTTGTTTTTTTATACACCTTCCATCCTCAATTAGTATCTACCAGTGGCCAGGAAGTAAAGTTGTTGAACACCTGTGTCCGATTCCAAGCAAAACAGCTGTTTTCATGGACGTTGTCATTGTTTTCTCCACAGGTAACATGGATACAAAGCAATTCCTTAAAACGTCTTCCATGAAGGCATACTTCCTCTAGGCAGATAGCCCTTGCATGCTTTGCCATAATTAAACAAAACCACTCTACTCTCAATTCTATGGAGTAGTGGTCAACTACGCAAAGGGCTTTGCAAGTTTTGATTTTTTTTTATCATCAAAATTTTAATACTAAAAAAAAAAAAAAATTTAATTGAGGGTTTTTCCTTACCATAAGTTAATGTTACTTAGTGAGGTAATTATGATTTATAAACAACATTAATCAAAGAATCACCTGCTGTGTACTCTAAGTATTCTATAATGCAAATAAATATTATACATAATTCCTATTTAGAAAGAAAAGTGGGGTTTCCATTTGAGGTGAAATGCAAGGAGGCATATAATATGAGAAAAGGCGACTCATGAATGATCAAAGAAATGTACTTGATTTCACTGATCAATTGCAAATAAGGGTATTTAACCTATTAGGCGATTTGACTGCATCCCAGCATTAAATATCTCAAGTTAGTTTTGATTAGAAAGCTTCTCCTACTGGTATGATACCTTTTGGATATTCTACCATACTTAAAATCAAACTTCCTTTTTTATTCATATTATAATTCAAAAAAAGAAATACAAATTTTTCTGATTTAAATTAAATGCAAACAAATGAAAACACAGAACAGCCTTTATTGAACAATCTTGCAGCATAAATTTTTAAACACTTTTAGGAATATCGTTCACATGACTAGAGATTAGACTATACAGCACTTCATTCAGTGGTGTAACTTCACATTTGGGATATTTAATATGTCTTAAAAACAAATATTACTTTTTATAAACAGATAATATGTTTTCTTATATGAGAACTAGAACTACTTCAGAGACTATGCAATTAAGATTAAAAAAATTGACACATAGTTTCCTAAAAACAGGTTACTATTTGAGACAGATGTGTTCATATATGACATAAAAAGTTGCCATTTTTAACATGAACAGACATGCACAAAAATAATAATACTTTCTGATGAATCTAGGAACACAATAAAATAGAAAACTCTATTTGTTATTTACATCATGAACATTAATAACAAAGATAAATTCTATAAACATTTTTTCTATTTAATTAATAAAAAATAGACATAGAAATTTTTAACAGGAAATAAAATAGACTTATTTCTCAGTCCCAACAAACGTTCTATCAATACGAGTATGTTATTGCTATAACAAATGACAGGAATGTCAATTTCACCCAACAATAAAATGTCAAAGCTTTCTCAATTATAGCAACTCCTATTAAGTGCAGACAATACCAGCTTAAATTGAAACTCAAGATTTCTATTATAATTCCTACATGCTGAGATTCATATTTTAAGGAAAAATAATGTGGGGAAGGGGCGATGGAAGGCGGTACCAATCTTTTAAAATACTACTTCTTTATAATTTTTTGTGTATACTGCCAGATAGTAAAATACTGAATGAAATCTATCACATAGTTAACTTTTAAATTTTTTCCACTAAAATAACACAGCATACAAGACACATTCAGCATTATTTTTAATTCGATTCAACATCAAGCATTTCTTGCTTTGGCCAGGAACTACTTATTTCTTCAATTTATTTACATTCAGTTAATCGTGTCATTTTAATGAAATCCAATGTAAGACTCAACAACGGCATACCTGGTTTCTTTACACTGCAGATTCAATCTTATTTTAGAAAAACTGGATAATATATCATAAATAAAATTTCAACAATATAATAAAAAATCATATAATATTATGACTTATAGGATATTTATGATCAAAGAATGGTTTGCTGTTTAAGTAGTTATGTTATCTGCATGTTTCTTTGACTGAAAGCAGTTAAAGCTATCTTGTAACAAGATGCAATTATCTCTAAATCCATGACTTTTGTATAAAACATAATTTTTTATTATACTAAAAGTCTTTCAATTCATGAACAGTTCTGCTGTTAAATACCAATAGTGACTAGATTTATTTAGATCTAAATAAAAGAAAAAGAAACAACTTTTTCATGCTCACCTATAGAAAACATTAAACAAAATGTATCTTAGATTCGTACAGCTAAGATAACAGAACAGAATTAGCCAAAGAAAAGAAAACTGTCTACAAAGAAACTAAAATGCGGTGGGCTTGTAAATATAAAAATAAACATTTCACAGGAATACAAACACCAATAGATTCTGAAAAGATGAAATATTTTACACACATTTAAAATGCAACACATGAAAATGTATACATATTATTAAGGTCACTTTACTATACAAATGTTAGCAATATGAATAGCTTTCCAAAACATAATGAGACAATAAATATAATTTTGGACGATGAGCATGAGTAGTTTTTTTTTACTCAAGATTTCAAACTTCAGCTTGTCATATGAAGATAATGCATTTTTCAAATAGTCCATGCACATTTCTTAATATTAAGAAAAATATAAAGTTAAAAATCAGTAATATTCGAATTTAGAGCACAAAATTATAAACTGTAATAAAATGTACAGTAATTCATAGTTTCTGAAGTGAGAAAAATTTAATAGAAAGACTATAAAAAGTATCTCATAAAGATAAAAATTTATATCTTGGTACTTCTGATTCTAAAATAATATTTTGCAAAGTAAAAATATTTAGTAATAAGTACATTGTTTCAATCAAATTTATTAAAACATTTTAAAAACATTGCAATGATAAACAAATAATGTATCACATGTAAAACTTACTTGACAGCAACTATTTTTATGATATGAAATCAAACAGAATTTCCATATGGTAAGAAGATAAAACCAGTCATACCATACAAAACTTCTTATTAAACATTTTGAACAATAATTTGAACAAATAATTTTGCACAGCAGTTCTCACATAAAAAAAAAAAAAAAAAAAAAAAAAAAAAAAAAAAACAAAAAACTTTTTTTTTTTTTTTTTTTTTTTTTTTTTTTTTTTTTTTTGCAAAGTATCTGCTCAGCTTCTTTCTGCTTCTTCAAGATCTTGATCATCTTGATCTTCAGATGTTATGTGGAATTGGATTTTTTCTGCTGCAGCTGCTAGTTCTGAAGACTGTGTACTTTGATCTTGTTCTTCTTCAGGGTTGTTGGAGTCTGGGCTAACTGGAATCATATTCTGGTACCAATCACGATTTTCTTCAAGAGTATCTAATATTTCTTGAGCATCAGGGTGAACTAAATCAGCCCATGTCTCCCACAGAGGATGAACAATATAATCAATGAAACCAACCTAAATTCAAAGACAGATAGAGTGCTTTCAAGTATGGGTTTAAACCTTAAATAAGTAATATATTAGAGTTCTTTATAATTGAGAAATAAAATGCATTCAAGATGACAGAACCTCTTCACGTAACTATCAAATTAATTATAAATTTAAAAAAAAAAACTCTCACTCTGTGTGTTAAAAAGAACTTACTTGAGACTTTTCAATAGTTGCATTCTCTCTGTCACACATTGGACTAATGTCTAATCCCATTTCTCTTTCTTTGTCACCTTGCTGGAAAAATTCCTCCATGATCAGGTTTACACAGGTACGATATATCTCTAAGGGTTTTGTTGGATTACTCAGGTCAGCACAATGAATCATATTTTGCAATACCTAAGCATAATACAAAATTCAAATAATTACACATATTGAAGTAAAAAAAATGAAGTATATTATACTTTTGGCTAGTTAATACAGACTTCTGATTGTCAACACACTCCCAAGGAACACACATGAATTATGAGAATTGTTATGCAAAAGTTTTGCTTACATTACAGAGATGAATTAAACTTGAAACTTTTAGGAGAAAACATACAATTTTTTAATGCACAAAATCTCAATGCCAAGACTTGGAATAATGTTAAAACGTTTATGCTAATCTTTGATCATGAGATATGATTCCTAATAAAGTAGAAAGGTTCTGCAAGACAAAGTTTTGTCTTATTTTACCTGAATATGGCAAAGTGCAGGAAGGCACAAGGGGTGTCTAAGGGTAGGTAAAACTTCGTGACGGTATTATAAGAGAAACTGACTATATTTGCACTAAATAAAAAGTAAATTAAAAAAAAACTCAAGCAGCCAGCCTGTTTATCAGGACACAATCTATTGATGAAGAGGTAGAAGCAATGGGCTTTACTGACACTATTTCTCAGATTCAAAAACTTAAAACTATATATGTATAAACAAAGAAGGAAAAACAAGGAATGATGAAACAAGATTTGATCAGATATTCTTGACATTACGGCTCACGAGAAGATAGCAGATAAATACAAGAAGGATAATGAAGGAAGATGAAAAAACAATGACCATGATGTACAAACTATATTAAATTTAGTATAATAAACCATAATACTGTTTAACCACAGTACATATTTAAATTAAATAGCAAATTTAGCACCAAACATAAAATATTCACCACATACTTAAGAAGAAAAAGACCAATTCGTGAAGACTGCCAGCAGCTGTCTTCATTGCTCATCCATTACTCTTGCCACTGGCATTCAACCCCACTCCTGACACCAAAATTGTTGCATGAGTAGGGGTTCGTAATATATTGAATGAACACAGATCCGATGATATGTAAATAAAATGTATTTTTATCAAATGAAACACTTCAAAGTTCTGGAATTTTCCATAGGAATATTCGTACAGGTTTTTGTTCTCTACGATGTGCTGGTTCTGTTTCAAGCTTTCTGTATTTCTGAAGTATTTATAATTTTATTTGTTTGGTATTTCAATAGATTTTTAATAAAAATGAGACATTCACATTTTGAGAATCATATAAAGAAAGTGAAGACTCGAAAATCTGAATGCTCTACCCTCCCCCTGTTTGAATCTTCTGAATTTAAACCTAAAAACCCGTTAAAAGTTATAAAACTCAAATCATTGGTGAGATTACTCATTCATTTTTCATTAAATAAAAATTTCAGATTTTGTTTTTATTAGGCACTGTTAATATTGAGCAAAAGGTTTTTCTTACATTCATTCTTTCTTACTACTCTTAATATGCAGGATTCAAAAGACTCAAGAACCTTAAGAGATTCAGATGCGAGAAATTCAGAATTTGTTCTGCTTCTAAATTTTAACATATTCCTATTTATTACAGCTTCAAGGAAAGACATCCAATTCATGATGAAGTCATTAGGAAGGACAGTGGAATATGTATACAAGCTTTAACACTATATAGGTGAATAAACAGAATTTCATTTTAATGACATCATTGTTTTGAACAGTGTTTAACTGCACTGTCTGAAAAAAGTCGCCTTGATTGTCAAAAGCAAAAATAAAATAAAAAATGCTTTTCTAAAAAATAGTCTATGTAAAATTTAATATTTTAATTAAACTCTTAAAAACATTACTTCTGTATGATGTTCATTTAAAACTTCAGAAGTGTTAATTTTTTGTGGTAGCCATGCACAATTGTAATTTTACACAGCTATATTTTGACTTATACTTAGGCAAAAAAGCAATTTTAAATAGGTGTAGCTTTTCAATAAAGTTGCATCAATTCTGAGAAATCAGAAACAAGTCCATCTTCTTCTGAAGCAAAATTTTTTTGCAAAGGTGGGAGAAGCAACAATTATTTTATATGGAAATTAATGCACGATGCAAAGCAAAAACAGCATCATCAATTGAATAAAATAGTACTGAAGTATAAAAATTATGATATTCTAATTTTAAACTGTGAAGAACTGGATTGCATTTAATGTCATTAACTAAAGATACATTTTATTGAATATTAAAGGTGTAAAAAAGGTCTACCCTCATCAAACAAAGAAGCTTTGTGGATAATTTATATAAAACTAAAGTCAAATTATGGTTAAGCTTCTAGCTATACCAAATCTATCCCAATCTAACATTGCTTTTTTGTCTAATTTTACATTGACATGTTCCTCTCCCATTTACATTTTGATTATTTATGCTTCCTTCTTAACTGCTCAGAACTGACATAAATAATTAGTGCTAATTAATTTACATTCACAATTAGTTTTCATTGTGTAATCAAAAATATCAAATTACAAAATTTTTCCTATGGCATTTTACTATTACATCTCAGTATTAATTAGCTGAATGTATATAGTTTAATTTTACAATGTTTTTAGAGGTGTTTGTTACACATGTAAACATATTTCTCATATTGTTAGATGAAATCAGTAATTCATAAACTATATACAATACAAAGTCCCATATCATCAGTTTAACGCTTATGAGATGGCATACAGAAATTATAAAATTATAATTATGAAATCATCATTTATGAAATAATGAAGCATTTATGAACTAAAGGGTAACAAAATTTAGAAAAAAAACTTAATATTTATTTGTTTAGTTTATTAAACTTTTCTTTAAATGTAAGTTCTTTAAGTGGTTTGTTTTTTTGTGCTAATATTATCTCTTTAATTCCGTAGACAGACCTAATTTCTTATTCAGTTAGAAAGTTCCACTGTTCAAGTCCTGTAATTGCTATGTCAAGAATTCCGACTAACTTGTCAATTGAAATTTTTTCATTTCCAGTAACCTGTCTGTCACTTTCTGCACTCTCGATAGTGGTATTTTCTGGATTTAGAACCATACTACAGATATCGCCATCCATTAATTGATTGATAATTGGGGCAATGACAATGCAATGAAAAACTTCTCATATATCATCTTCATTTATTACTGCTTCTCCACTTTTTTTTTAAAAAAATATTATTAATTGGAAAATTTAACCTTTGGTTTGCAATATACGAAAACCTTCACATTCACGGCTATCATATTTATCAACCTCACCACGAAATATGCTAGCTGGCCATAAATTATGCCAAGCATATTTTGAAAGTATCTGGAGAGACATCCTCCCACAAAGCAAATTTTACATTAAAATATTAAAAAAATTCTCGAATTAGTCGTGCTATTATTCAAGAAATTTAACATGGATTTAAAAAATTTGAATTCTTATATTTCCATTTCTGCGCACGCACTATTCTGATATTCATAGGCTGAATGATTGACCTACAATTTGGAGGAGTGAATAATACGGATACATTAGCTTTCAAGCTTTCACTAAAACTTTAAGTGAAGTATGAGCTGTATAGGTGTCTACAATCACGACAATTTTTGCGTTATAAGATAAACTAACCGAATTCTGCCGAGCATCGGGTATGAAAAGATTTTCAAACCAATCATTCATTAACACTTGTGTCATGCATGTTCTTTTATCTGCACGACATATAACAGGAAAGTCTTTACTCTTTTAAATGCTTGAGGTCGTGCATTTCTTCTGATTATGAAAAGTTTACACTTGTGCGTTCCTGCCACATTTGCACATGCAAAAATTGCTAGTCAGCTTCGGAATCTTTGACATGAGCCTTTTCTATAGAGGTTGCTAAGTATGTATTGCCAGAAAAGACCAGTTTCTTCAGCATTGTAAATTTCTTCTGGATGTAACTTTTAATTATTGACAAGTTCAATGAATTCATCTGCAAATATTTCAGTAGCTTCAGTATCAGCTGAAGTTTTTTAACTGAAATTCTTAATTGCCTTACACCATGTCGATTTTTAAATTTGGTTAACCAACCTGTCGACTATATGAACTCAGTTTTTAAGTTCATTTCTTAGTGAAATATTTTAGCTTGCGCCATTAGCATTTGACCCGTCAACAGCATGTCCACACTGTGATGCTGTCTGATCCATTCAATTATCACTCTGTCACGATCTTCACTTTTAGCATAATGAATATTTTTCCTTTATTCATTGCAAGTGGAGTGTCGGAATCCACAAAAAATTCTAAAAGTTCCTTTTTCTGTTTTCTTATGTCATACACAGTGACTTTCGAATGCCATAGTCCTCGCATAATTTTGAGACAAATATACCTTCCATTTTTTGCCGCATTTCCACATTTTGTTTAATAAACTTCGAAACATGCTTTCGCTTTGTAGATCCTGTTGCAGCTCCAGAATCAGAAACTTTTTTTGACATGATCTAAAGTTGAAACTTTAATTTTCATCAAGTTGCTGTAATAAAAACAGCCTGCAAAAATAATTGAACAAAATCAAATCAGAAAGTTAAGGAACACCACGATCTTCTATATTGGCTGAAATTCCTTGGAATCGGTACACCATAATTTTAGCCTAGCTTAATAGCATCCGCTATATATTATGACATTGGTGATGAAATACAAGTTTTTCCACTAAATTTTGTCTTGCTTCTATCTTGCACTGAAGCAATTAAGCCCGATTGTATTGGTTTAGTTATTCATTATACTTACGTCTATTCCTTGCACATGCTTAAGGCTTATGTGAATCCTGAATAATTTCCACGTATACTTAAGGTTTATTGAGTACCAGTGCTAATACCACCTGATGCTGCCTCTGCGGGTCCTAAATTCTGCTAGCACCTCCCTAAGTTCTAAATTTTTGCGGCCCCTAAATTTTGGATCCCAGTGTTTTCTGCAAATTCTAAAAATATTTTCATCCTGTTATTTTGTTGCTCTGTGCTTCTCTAAATTCCAAACATCTTGTCTTCCCTAACTTTTTCCGCCTAGTGTGGCCATACAAACTCTGGCACCAGTTCTGAGTTTTTGTGAAAGACAAATAAGTTATTCTTCATTCAAATAGCACTAAATGAAATCT